TGTGTGTGTGTGTGTGTGTGTGTGTGTGTGTGTGTGTGTGTGTTTAGACCCAGGTTTGTGCAAGAGAATTCTTTATTCCAGTGAAATCAGCGGCAAAAGCCCAGTTTGTAAGATAGATCAACATGCCTGTACCCCAGGTGAAGCAGCCCAGTGGTCCTAGGTGCATATTATCCATGTTCTAGGTCACCCCCTGAGAGCCCTCAGCCTTTTCTTTTCTTTTCTTTTCTTTTCTTTTTTTTTTTTTTTCTTTTTGCTATAAGGTGCATGCACTAGCTAGAGAGAGACAGAAGGAAAGTGAGAAATCATCCCCCAGAGGGGATGGCCATACCACAAACTCTTTTCCTCCATTCTCCTCTTGGGATTTTGGACACATAAGCACATGCACCCAGCATTAATTTTCAAGCTGCCAAATCCAGGACTCGAACCACAGAGTCAGCCCTGTGGGGGCTGCACCTTAACCACCATACCACCTGCTGGCTTCCCATCTGCTCCCTCAGCTTTAAGGCACCCAGTTCGCAGTCCCATTCTAGCAGTTGAATAAACTGCTAGAATAAATGTCCACAGTGTGGCCATTCCCTCTGCTCCATTCTCCAGTGGCAGAGATGGCTGACCCACCCCTACCCACCACCAGGTATGTGGGAGAAGTGGAGAAGGAGGAGCTTGGAAAACTGGTGCCTTGCAGTCTTGGACATACCTGCTCAAAGTCTCCTTTATGCCAAGACTCCATCCAGCTTTCCCTAGGACTGCTCTTTGGGCACAAGGCCTATATCTATGTGCTCTAGACTTCAGTGTTGAAAGGTTAGCCAACCTGGGAAGACCCTCTCTGAGCCTCTGCGTGCATCTCCTGGTCTCTGTACCAGTCCCCTGGGTCCCTCCCTTGATCTGTGGCCCTGTAACTGCCACTTAGAAGCCTTAGCTGTCCATCACATAGCCAGCAACTGAACAAAGCAAATTTGTGGCAGTCCTACCCCTTGTTGGGTTAAAAAAAGACACCCCTCCTACCAGCTGACTTTGAGCAAATCATTGACCAGTTGGCAAAGGCTTCCTTTGCATCATAGGGAAAAAACAAGACAGTCACATTGATGCTTATATAGTCTGAAGGCAGGTGGTCGGACCAGATTGTGAACTGATGCTTTTCCCTGCATACAAATTCCGGTTTCTTGAAACTAAATTTAGAAGTTCTCTTAGAAACCCTTAAGATGCACTGCATGTAAGAGCTACCATTCTGTGCCCAACCCTGTAACCCATATCATCTCATTTAAACCCCCAGGAGCCAGGAGGCGACATGGGGGTTCAAGTGCTGGATCCCACTGTGTGGTTCAAGTCCCAGATCTGACAGTGTGAAAATCATGCCAGGCATGTGTGTGCACATGTCCAAAACCCCAAGAGCAGACTGGAGAAGGAGGGATTGTGGTCACCCCACCCCCTCCAGTGGGGTGATTTCTCACTTTCTCTTTCTGTCTCTCTCTTTGTGGTGAGCACACATGCCCTATAGTAAAAAGTAAAAAATAAAGCAAAGAAAGAAAAAAAACTTAAACAAAAAAATATGACCAGCAGATGGCATAATAGAATAGTTATGTCACTGGACTCCTACAGTCAGCTGCGGTTTGAGTCCCAGACCCAGAGGCTTAAGACTCATGCTAGGCACATGTGCATGCATACCCAGATTCCCAAGACAAGAATGGAGGAAAGGGGATTGTGGTGTGGCATTCCCCCGGGGACGATTTCTCACTTCCTGCCTCTCTCTGTCTTTCTGGTGAGCACACATGCCCTATTGCAAAAATCTCTCTTAGAAAAAAAAAAAAAATCAGAAATCCTAACAGTAGCCACCATTTACAGATGAGGAAACTGAGGCTCACCCAGCATCAGTGAGTGGCAGAGTTGGGATGAGTCGCCCCCAGGCTTGCTGGCCCTAGCACCCACAGTCACTGTGCGCTGCTCACACAGAAGGCTTTGCATTATTGCCTTGCCTCCCATCTCCCAAAGGCCCCATGGCTCCCTGGGAACAGCCATTCAGGGACACCAGGACCTCCTCCACAACCGACGAATAGGCAACTCGGAGGCCCAGGAGGGCAGGGTTCCCTGGGGAAATGCAGTAGTAGGCTGTGAGGTCCACAGGAACAGTGGGGGCAGTGCAGATGGCCGTGAGCCTCCTACAGGGGGAGAGGGGAGCATCCACTGTCTGCCTGTATCTGCAGCCTCTTGCTCTGGCTCCGTGCTTGTCTGTGTTGAGTGTTCTGTCTCCTCTCTCGGTTTGTCTCCCTCTCTCTCATCATGGGATTATTGTGCTCCTCACCTTCACTCAGCAGCCTCTCCCATTCGAGGTGCCTTGGACAGGACAGGAATGGATGTATCTAGGAAAGGTAGGCCCTGCTAAGCCCCAGTCCTGAAGCAGTCAGGGTCCCAGCATCCTAGCCCTCTTCAACTACTCCTGGCCAGCCCCTGTCTGCTGCAGGTCTTCCCTCAGTCCCCAGAACCGCGTGCAGTCACACGGGATGATTGTGGGAACAGGGGCTATCTGGCCTTCCCCGGGACCCATCCTTCAGCCTGAGATACTGCCCTGGTTCTGGCATGTTTAACCAGCATCCCAGGTGCCAAGTTATAGCTCGTGGGGATTCCAGCCCCGCCTCCTGGGCCCTCTGCCCACTTCGACGCTCCCATGTTCTTGGCCTCCTAGTGTGTGCCCAGCATCATACACACTTGCCATCTGGTCTGCAGTGCCAGGAGGAGGCCTCGGCACCTGGGCACCTGCTGCCAGGGGCTACGCCCCCACCCCCAGGAAGTCAAGGCAGCCCGACTCCAGATCCCTCAGCACCTGCTGGGGCTCTTGTGCACTCCTGCATTTACTCCCAGAACACTCTGTGGCTTTCCTCCAGTAAATACGAGGAAAGCGAAGGCAGACATGGTGAGCCCAACCACTCCTTTTCTGGGCTTTGTCTTCTGCAGTGTCAAAAGAGTCCCCAGCCTTGTCCCTTCTGTCGATCAAGGACTCTGTTCACTGTGGCTCCATGTGCCAGCCTCCTGCTGGCCCCAGCAGCCCCAGGCAGGACTCTGGGAGGACTGAGCTGGCCAAGGGCCATGTCCAGGCCTCTCTGCACACTGGCCTCAACCCCTTTCAGTCACGCCTAGATCCAGCTCTGGTCTGTGAGCAGCATGTATCAGGGGCCTAGGTGTGTTCACAGGGGCATGGTGTGTGGTGATGCCTCTGGGGAAACGAGCCCTGTTTCCCAGGGTGCCACTGTGCTCTGGGTATACTCGTTAGTCCTGGGAGCAAAGGTCAGTCGTCCTTCTCCAGCAGGCTGACAGAAGAGGACAAGAGGCCAGCAGCGGAACGTGCCTGTCCCTGGGAGGTTTAACATCCAGACTTTTCAGCAGTGAATGGACTTTGCCTGTTCCGTCTGGGGAAAGTTATAGGCAACTCGGAGGCCCAGGAGGGCAGGGTCCCCTGAGGAAATGCAGTAGTAGGCTGTGAGGCCCACAGGAACAGCGGGGGCAGTGCAGATGGCCGTGAGCCTCCTACAGGGGGAGAGGGGAGCATCCACTGTCTGCCTGTATCTGCAGCCTCTTGCTCTGGCTCCGTGCTTGTCTGTGTTGAGTGTTCTGTCTCCTCTCTCGGTTTGTCTCCCTCTCTCTCATCATGGGATTATTGTGCTCCTCACCTTCACTCAGCAGCCTCTCCCATTCGAGGTGCCTTGGACAGGACAGGAATGGATGTATCTAGGAAAGGTAGGCCCTGCTAAGCCCCAGTCCTGAAGCAGTCAGGGTCCCAGCATCCTAGCCCTCTTCAACTACTCCTGGCCAGCCCCTGTCTGCTGCAGGTCTTCCCTCAGTCCCCAGAACCGCGTGCAGTCACACGGGATGATTGTGGGAACAGGGGCTATCTGGCCTTCCCCGGGACCCATCCTTCAGCCTGAGATACTGCCCTGGTTCTGGCATGTTTAACCAGCATCCCAGGTGCCAAGTTATAGCTCGTGGGGATTCCAGCCCCGCCTCCTGGGCCCTCTGCCCACTTCGACGCTCCCATGTTCTTGGCCTCCTAGTGTGTGCCCAGCATCATACACACTTGCCATCTGGTCTGCAGTGCCAGGAGGAGGCCTCGGCACCTGGGCACCTGCTGCCAGGGGCTACGCCCCCACCCCCAGGAAGTCAAGGCAGCCCGACTCCAGATCCCTCAGCACCTGCTGGGGCTCTTGTGCACTCCTGCATTTACTCCCAGAACACTCTGTGGCTTTCCTCCAGTAAATACGAGGAAAGCGAAGGCAGACATGGTGAGCCCAACCACTCCTTTTCTGGGCTTTGTCTTCTGCAGTGTCAAAAGAGTCCCCAGCCTTGTCCCTTCTGTTGATCAAGGACTCTGTTCACTGTGGCTCCATGTGCCAGCCTCCTGCTGGCCCCAGCAGCCCCAGGCAGGACTCTGGGAGGACTGAGCTGGCCAAGGGCCACGTCCAGGCCTCTCTGCACACTGGCCTCAACCCCTTTCAGTCACGCCTAGATCCAGCTCTGGTCTGTGAGCAGCATGTGTCAGGGGCCTAGGTGTGTTCACAGGGGCATGGTGTGTGGTGATGCCTCTGGGGAAACGAGCCCTGTTTCCCAGGGTGCCACTGTGCTCTGGGTATACTCGTTATCCTGGGAGCAAAGGTCAGTCGTCCTTCTCCAGCAGGATGGCAGAAGAGGACAAGAGGCCAGCAGCGGAACGTGCCTGTCCCTGGGAGGTTTAACATCCAGACTTTTCAGCAGTGAATGGACTTTGCCTGTTCCGTCTGGGGAAAGTTCTCCATTCAGCAAGTACTGAGGGCATGTCCCTGCAGCAGGCACCATGCTGGGTACTGAGGGAGCAAGATCCAGCCACTGCCTTCGTCCAGCCCCCAGTCAGCACAGCAGCTCGTAAACCCGAGGTGCCTGAAGATCACCTGCGATACCCAATAAGTGACCCCTGGGCCTTGCCCGCAGGCTTGCTCATTCCGCAAGGCAAAGTAGAACCCAGGAGTGTGGTATCCTCCCTCCAAGGCCGTAAGAGGCCTTCCGAGAGACAGGAAGACAGATGTGCTCCTCCTAACTTCAGCCAATGCACCTGGCTTTGCTCATGTCCCATTGGCCAGAACTCAGACATACGCCCCACCTACTTAGCTGTAAGGGAGGCGAGGAAGGGGGTCCAGCCATGAGCCCCGGAACCGAGGAGGACACAGACAAGGATGAACATCAGCATTGTCAGCCACTAAGTCACTTGCTCAGAGAGGCTCCCCTGCCAGTCTAGACTGGATTCTTCCTTTTAGGTTCTCTCCCCACAGTCTGTACCTGTCCTCGTGGGCCTCGTCACACAGTGTGTTCGTGTGACCTCTGAGTCTTTAATATCTGTTCTCCCCAGCTGGTCCCCACAGAATGTAAGCGCCACAGAGCAGGACCAAGTTCTGTATGGCGCAGTTCTTTATCCCCAGTGCCAAGGACAGAGCCTGTGAGGGAGGCACTCAGCAAACACTACTTGGACGAGGGAGGAAGAGATGGCTGGGTAGAATCTAGTTCTGCCACTGATTCTGCAGTTTCGGGGAAATTGTGTATAGTTGAATAATTGTTTACAGGTAAATAATTGTTTCACCGTAAGTAATTTACTCTTGTGAAAGTGGCAAAGAGCATTCTTAGGGTGCAGCATTGTTGTGCAAGTGGATGAAGGCAGTGTTAGAAGGTTCTAGCACAGTACTGAGTACACGGTGGTGAGTAATCGAGTAACAACTGTAGGATTAGGATCTGTGGAGGCTGCTCTTCCATAAACACCATAGTAAAATGCTTCCAGAAAGTTCTTCTGTGTGTGTGTGTGTGTCCATAGGTCTGTGTGCATCTATAAGTACATGCCACATGCCCGTTCCTCCTTCTGGGGAGCTGGAGGGGATTCCTTCAGGGCTTCCTTCTCATGACCTCTCTCCCTGCAGGTTAAAGTTAAACAGTAAGAGGAACCAGCTGGTGAGAGAACTGGAGGAAGCCACTCGGCAGGTAGCAACTCTGCACTCCCAGCTGAAAAGGTGAGTGGTGGGCAGTGGGGTGACTGCAGCCCTAGGGATGGCCAGGAGTCCCCAGGTGGGACCCAGCCCAGACTCTACCCTTTACCGGTCATGATGGTCGGAGGGTAGATATTCGGAAGCACTGCAGGTGGCCAGTCCTACAGCCTGAGGCTCGGCCTGGGGTGGGCAGGCTCCTCACCTCTCCAGGCTGGTAACACAGGAGAGGGCCCCACAGGTGCTGGGATGTTTTATGGCACACTTGATGTGCCTGCCCGTCCGCTTTTACAGCACAGAGCAGACCGCGGGCCTGGGCCTTGGCGGCAGCAGTGCATTAGTACATTTATTGCAGAGTTTAAGAACAACAAAGAGTATATAAAAAGTGGGTTTTTCAAGACCGATATTAAGGAATATTTGGGGCTGGGTTCACATATAGAGCCATATGATAGAAAGGCAGTGTGGGTGATGGCGGTTGGGAAATGGAGAACTAGAAGGGGAATAAAATGGACTTGGAAGCGGCTAACAGGTTCACATCGCAGCTCTGCCACTCTCTGACTCTGGCCTTCTTGGAGTATTTGTTTTCTCTTCAGTCTAGTGGGAGTGGATGGCCCACCCAGGAGTCTGCCGGGCGGGTCCCGTGAGATCATGGCGGGAAGTCCCAGGTGGCCCCCGCCCCGCTTCTTCACACTCTGTGTCCCCGTCCACAGCCTCTCGAGCAGCATGCAGTCCCTGTCCTCGGGCAGCAGCCCCGGATCCCTTGCGTCCAGCCGGGGGTCCTTGGCCGCCTCCAGCCTGGACTCCTCCACCTCGGCCAGCTTCACTGACCTCTACTATGACCCCTTTGAGGCGCTGGACTCGGAGCTGCAGAACAAAGTGGAGTTCCTACTCCTGGAGGGCGCCACAGGCTTCCGGCCCTCAGGCTGTATCACCACCATCCACGAGGACGAGGTGGCCAAGACTCAGAAGGCCGAGGGGGGCGGCCGCCTGCAGGCCCTGCGCTCCCTGTCTGGCACCCCCAAGTCCATGACCTCCCTGTCCCCACGCTCCTCTCTGTCCTCCCCTTCCCCACCCTGCTCTCCACTTATCGCTGACCCCCTCCTGACTGGAGATGCTTTCCTGAACCCCCTGGAGTTTGAAGACCTGGAGCTGAATGCCACTCTTAGCGAACTGAGCCTCAGCAGCACCCCCCGAGACAGATTCCGGCTGGAGGAAGCAGGGACGGAGGGCAAGCAGCTGGGACAAGGTAGCGGCACCACATCCGGAGGTGGGAGCTGGGAGAAGGCAAAGGGATGCTTTGGACTCGGGACCCCAGGGATTCCTTATGGTCGCCATTTACCGACTGCTTTTTAAGAATTATTTTATTTAACTTTATTTGTTTATTTGCTTATTTTAATTTGACCACAGAGGGACAGCATGAGAGAGAGAGAGATGGAAAGTGAGAAAGCAAGTTGCCAAGTCCAGGACTCGAACCATGGTCAGCCATGTGGGAGTCCACCGCCCTTAACGACCAGGCCACTTGCCAGCCCCTTCCGTGTGCTTGTTCATAGATCTATATGTATTAACGCAGTATGTTCTAGGTGTGGTGCTAAGGGTTGTTCGTGGATTTATCCGGCAGATACTTGGTACCTACTGAAACGAAATCCGTAGTAGGTCTTATGCCGGTAGCTTCTGCACATGGATTCATTCATGCATTCTACAGAGAGGCCATGTGCCAGACACCAAGTCACGCACAGTGCAGACAGACACGGTCCTGCTCTCACGAAGCTTCCGCTCGGATGGAGGCATGGGCAATAGGCATGCAACCAGGCAGAAGCACTGTGAGGTGGAGAAAGCAGGGAACGTGAAGAGCCTTTCGTCATGGAGAGGGGATGCCAGTTCAGACTGGGTCATGAAGGAAGGTGACATGTAAACAGAGTGGTGAGAAGGTGCCGGCCTTGGGAAAAGCAGGAGCGAAATCTCTGGAGACAGAGAGAAGGGCAAGGAGCTGTGATGTAGAGGCAGGGGGTCACCAGAGAGGCGGGAAAGTTAGGCTGGTCAGATCACGGAAGGTCTGGTGGGCTGTGATAAGGCCTGGCTTTGATCTTAATTGCAGTAGGGACTCATGGAACTGTTTGGAGCCATGCAGGGTGAACCGAGCCTCATTCCACGTGGAGTCAGAGAGAAGACTCTGATTTCGATTGAGATATTCTAGTGGGAATCTTCAAAATAGAAGATACAGACCCTGACAGCTGAGACTCAACTAGGGGAGGAGTGCTAGCCGCAGCCTCCAATGGGGAGGCACTGTGCTTTGGGGGTGTAATTTATGCGGTGGAATAGGTTACTCCATTAAGCCAGTTCGCCCATGAGCAACCAGATGTTCAGAGGTGATACTTGCCTCAGGGCATCCCATCAACAAATGAGGAAGCAGGGATTGGAGCTCAGGTCCCCTGATCCCGAAACCCAACCCCTTGAGTGTCATGCCCCGCCCCCTTTTCAGGATGGGTATTTATTCATGATGTGTTCATTCACTCATCACTCCTGGTGCTTGCTGGCTCCACCAAGGGCAGAGGGTCCTGGGTGTGAAGGACGAAGTAGGGTGCTCACTAAGCTCATCTGGGGCTCCTTGGCTTTCCAGGCAGCCCCCATGCACACACACAACAAAGATCGCCAGAAGGTACCGAGTTTGGGGTCCAGGATCTGGGTACCGTTAAGCCTCATTTAAGCCTCACAACAACTCTGTGAAGCGGATGCTGTTTTTATCCCCACCTTGCAGATGGAAAAGTGAGACATGATGAGGTTAAAGGATGCATCTGAGGTTAGTCCTGCAGCTGTGGAGGGGCACCCAGAACCCACCCTCTCTGCATGGCTCTGTGCACACAGGGCTGGTGCTCCTGGCTCCCTGTGAGGCCAGCTGGGAGGGAACAGTGGGCTCAGGGACGGCCAGGAGTACTGTCGCTGTGCCCAGTGCCATCTGTTCCTGTGCAGGAGCCAGAGGGAGCGAGCGGGCATGGCGGTGTCCTGGTTGACTGCAGGCTCCGAGTGCCAGCAGTTGGCTTAGAAGAGGAGTGAGAGATCCCCGGGGTTCCCTCATCAGGAGGGGCGGCTTGCTGAGTGCTCGCAGACAAAAATAAAAACAGGCTTCCCACTGCAGCAGGTGGCAAACTCCAGAAAATTGTTCCCCGGAGTGATGGGGGTGCAGGTGGCACCTCTAATGAGGCTCAAGAAGAGGGGGTGTTAAGCCAAATCAGGATACTCAGGCCCCAGCCGTGTCCTGGAAAGTGACACCCCTTCCTTCTCCTCTCAGCAGTCCTCAGGGCTTGTGGCCACAGACAGCACATGGGTCTGGGCACACATGGGTCCCAGGATGGCGTTTCCTTCATGCCATCTCCAGAAGCCTCCCCTGCAGCGAGCAATGCCAGGCAGACTCAGACGTTTAAGCAGGGTTACGCGATTAGTGCCGCTGTTCAGTCAGCAGACAAATTAATCTCCGTAAGTGGTTTAGTGGAGGGGAGAGATGCGAGGGTCTGAAGGCGGGAGGTCTCCGCGGGCTGGAAAAGCCACATCCCACGGCTGCTCTGCGCCCGCACCGCCAGCCTCGCCTCACCACCATGCTTTCCCATGGGCCTGACACGCCCCCGGTCTCAGGGCTCCTCCATGCTGCGAACCCCGAGCCTGCAGGTCCGTCTGCAGTGCCTGGCACGCAGTAGGTGCTCTGAGTGCTGGCTGTCAGGTGGCCAGGCCTGAATCTGGCCTTCCCCCCACACAGAGGGCACGAACCATCACACTCATCTTTGTAACCCTGAACCTGGCACATCGTTGGTGCCCATTACCTGGGTAAGGAAGGAAAGTGCAGTTTGGGCCGAGTGCCCGGTCACCGTCAGTCCAGGTCAGAGGGGCGTCCGAGGCCCTCTGAGGGGCAGAGAAGAGGCAGAGCTGAACTGGGAGTGGAACGGGAGAGGTCGGCTGGGAGAGCAGGTGCTTCACCCCTCCCTCGCCCTCCTGAGAGCACAGAAGTTGTTAACCTACTCCAGGTGTGCAGGGTTGAGCTGGACGGTGTTACCATGGTGATGGAAACATGTGCAGTGGGCAGAGGGAGATGACTGATAGAGCACCTTCCCTGCATCAATCTCTTTACCGAGGACTTCTCCAATGTCTCCTTGCATTCTCCAAATAGCCCTACATGTAATTACTGTCACCCCTATATTACAGATAAGGGATCTGGGGCCTCAGGGGGTGCAGAGCTTTGTCCTGAGGCCATAAAGCCTTTAGTGGAGCTGGGTTCTGAATCAGGCGATTTGACTCCAGAGCCTAGGATGTGGGACACAAAGTCGTACATTACCCCTCCGTCGACAAAGCATGGCCTGGCTGCAGAGTTCCGAGGCAGCTGGAATTTGGTAGGACTGACTGAAGGCACGGTGGGATGAAACTGGGTGTGGCAATGACAGCATCCCGGTTTCTGGACCTGCCTGTGTATCTTTCTTGTCCCTCCTCCTCTCCAGCTGTGAATACGGCCCGGGGGTGCGGCCTGAAAGTGGCCTGTGTCTCAGCGGCTGTGTCCGACGAGTCAGTGGCTGGGGACAGTGGTGTGTACGAGGCTTCTGTGCAAAGGTGGGTCCCCGAGTGCTGGCTGTCCCTGTGTCTGTGTAGGCTGTGAACTCTGAGTACGCAGAACCAGGCCTGCCCATGGCCCCCACAGTGTGCAGGGACGGCCCCAGGGGTGTTCTTGGCTATGCGCCTGCTTCTTCCAGCAGCCCTGAGCTGAAGGGATGGACAGAAGCTGAGGTGCTTCAGATCAGGAGAGAGCTTGTTCCAGCCGCCAAGAAAGGGTGTGTAGCTTCAGGTGCAAGCGCTAGAGAGGGGGAAGCCCCTTCCACACAGGGGTCCAGAGCAACTGTGGGAAGTAGGGTTCAGAGGGATGCCAACCAGACCCAACTTTGCTTCCGGAGAATCCAACCAAGGCACCCCAGAGAGAGCCCCATTTCCAGAAATGCATTTGTTCCCGTGACCTGGGTCGCTGCGTAAAAGCCTAACTGCCACCTCCCTGCTGCCTTTCAGACCGGGGGCTTCAGAAGCAGCTGCATTCGACAGTGACGAATCTGAAGCCGTTGGTGCAACACGGGTTCAGATCGCCCTGAAGTAAGTGATGGGGAAGTCAAGAAAGGGGGCCCTTCGCCATGGGCAGCATTTTGCTAGAATTGATCTCTGCAGCTACCTAGGGAGGAAGGCAGGACCAGCAGGACCTGGTGACCATTGCAAACCCCTAACTAAAGGGGTGCCACCTCTTTGTCCACCTCCCAGCTCTCCGTAATACAAGAGCAAGACGGTTTTCAAAGACCTGACTGGCCCCAACCCACTGAGCTGGCCGGTGGCAGCACCAGCCAGGACCTCCTGCCTCTCAGCATATTTGTTTATTGTCACTGTGGCTTTTGTCTCTCTGTCCCCATCCAGGATTCAGTGATCTAAACCCACGTGGACTGCTGGGGGCTGCCATCTGGAAGCCCAGATTTGGTTGCTACATACATTTTTGCTTTTGTTTCCTCTTGCTAGGGAACGGCCTTGGTGTTTCCTACCGGGAACTAACGGCCAACATTTGCTATCAGGAGATTTCACATCAACGTCTGGCTTCTCTTTAAAACTTCAGACACCCGCCGTGGCTCTGGACCTGTCCCTGCACGGCAGCAAAGCATGGGCTCTCCAGCTCCCAGAGTTCCCAGAGAGCCAAGAGCTGCATCTCGTGATTGTCAACAGAAAGAAAGAGGCAAATGTCTCACTGCTAATGGGTGTGCCGCTTGTCCCTTTCCATTTCAGGTATGATGAGAAGAGTAAGCAGTTTGCAATACTCATCGCCCAGCTGAAGAACCTCTCTGCTCTGTTGCTGCAACAAGACCAGAAAGTGTGAGTATGTGGCCAGACAGGCGTGTGTCCCTGTCACACCCTATGTCACCCCTCAGGCAATCTCTGCTCCGTCCCATTCCAGCTCAGGCCCTGTGGGTATTTATTGCATATGACAATGATGCAGAGTGTCACCAGGGACACTGTGGGTACAGGGACAGTGGCCAATATGCCAACTCTCAAGAGAAGTACAATTTCTCAATAAGTCCTGAACACCTACCAGGCCTTCCCTATTTGAACTCCAGGATGGGGGTAGTGAGAGCAATCTTTCTGGGACCCTGCCCTCCTGAGCTTGGGGCCTTATGTAGAAGGGCCACGGTCCATTTTGTCTTCTCTAAGCTCAGACAGTCCATGCAGAAAGACAATCATCCATCCTGGAGAGTGGCCGCCCGTCACTGGGCTCCAGCGTGTGGCTGGATCTTCCCTGGAGGCTGATGGGACCGCCGAGGCCCGTGCTGTGTGTGAGCGAGTCGGCTCTCCTGCGTAGGCCTGGCTTCATTGCATCACGCTCGTCTGCTCCGCGTTGTCTCCCTACCTAGACCGTCAGGCCATGAGGACAGCCACGGCAGCTTCTACTTCTGTGGTCTGCACCCAGACAGCAGCGGAGGGTGGGACACATGGGAAGAGGCAGGAACGTAGACAAAACAGGAAGAAAGCAAGATGGGACACTGGGGTGGTTTCAGTTTTTGCCCATGATGTGCCAGGGTGAGTAACTCCCGTCTCCTTGGTACTTGGACAGGAGTGTTTGCAGGAAAATGCCTGGAAGTGAGGGGTCTGGGTCCGAGGACAAACACACCTGTGCTTGTGTTAGAAATGTCAGATTCCCCCCCACAGGGTTGGAACCTTGTGCCTTACAGTGTATGAGGCGCCTGGTCCCAGAGTCCTCGGGTAACCCTCAGGGACCCTTCTGCACGCTCTTGCCCTCAGACTCAGCACGGCTGGGGTCTGCGAATCTGCGGGGGGGGGGGAGGGGCAGGGAGGGGGGGGGTGGAAT